GTTGTGGGTGTTGGGTCTCAGAACTTTTGCCAGTCTCCTGTTTTCTCTTAAAATGCTTATGATTCCCGCTGTCCCGTTTGCCGCCATGACCCCTGTTGAGTTAACTGTCATGTGGGGTATGAGATGCTGTGGACCTGAAGCCAGCCTGTGAGGGTTCACACACTGTGTAGATTTACAAAGTTTATTGTAGGTAATTTCAAGTTAAACTTTCATTTTTTTGATATAATGATTTCAAATGTTACTATTTTATTGTAAAAATAGAGCACACTTATTGTAGAAAATTTGGAAAACATAGGACAGCACAAAGATAATCAGCTGGAGTTCTGCCATCCTGGAAACCATCCGTTAGTGTTTGGGTGTGTTTGTTTCCACTGAGTGTGTGTTTATATTCATTCATGTCAAATCAAATGCTAATCTCCTGTCTAGGGGTTACTCTGTTTTGACTAACAGCCCTCTTGGCCCTGGCTGCCCAGCCTCCTGCAGAACTCCGATCTAGGCTGAGAGGCAGCTCCACAGCCCTGGACATGGGCTCCAGCCTCGCTGGAGCTCAGCTCCGTTTCCACTTGCAAACAGGCTGATAGCAGCATCTGTCCCCTAATGGGGGACGGGGAGGAGCCGGCATCTCGCCCAATGCACCCACCCTGTCCCCAGTCTTCCCGTGAGCCACAGCCACCAAACCCTTCTGTGGACAAGTGGCTGGCTCCAGTTTTTTTTTACCTTTGGGATTGCAAGTTATATTGTGGGCAACAACATCAGATATAAATATTTCCTTGCATAGACGATATTTCTTTTGTGCGTATCTCTGAAAGGCAGGAGGGGTCAGAGTGTAGACCTGCTTCCGGGTCTTGGTGTGTTTAAGGCTCGTCCTGGTGATTTGCCATGTGAGCTGGTCCCTTAAACGTGAGGGTGGGCAAGTCTGGGCTGAGAGCAGAGACTGCCAGAGGGTTGGGCGTCCCCTGCCCCAGGCCCTGCTCCCCACTGTGCAGTGAGGTGGCCCCTCATGGTAACGTGGGGTGTGCTCTCCTTTCAGGACTGGAAGGACCACCAGCACCTGTGCGGCCAGTCGGCAGCTGTCACTGTCCAGGCGGACGAAGTCCACGTCACTGACAGTGTGATGGAGAAAGTCACCGTGTGAGGGTCCCCGGGTCCCCCCTCCACGGTGCCGCGGGGCTGCCGCGGGTCAGGCACTTTGGGGGACGTTGAGGAGAAGGTGAAAACACTTGCTGGTCAAGTTGTTAACAGACTTTAAGTGACCTGCACCCTTGGAAATGAGCTCCTGCCACCCAGAAGCCCTGAGGGAGGTCGAGGCAGCGGCTGGTGGACGCAGGCCCCAGGCCCTTGGCGCCTTCCCACGGTGCTCTTTTTTATCCCCTGGCTCGTGAGCATCCGGTCTTACCCACGGGTGTGACGTGTGCAGTAACACACGTGTACATAACATGTGTCTGTCAATAAAGTTGACTTCCCTGCCCCACCAGGACAGGTGACTCCAGCTCCCCAGATGCCCAGGAGGTGGGTGGGCCTCAGTTTTGTTTCTCCTGACCGTGCGGTTTGGAGTTCGCAATGCCCAAGTGTGCAGACCAGCGGAGGGGCAGCGGCGAGGCCGGCCTGTAGCATTCTCCCTGTGGCCGCTGGTGGACGAGCTACGGCAGAGGCCCGAGTGCGGGGTGACCTGCCCCGGGCACCTGGGCCCCTCCTGTCCAGTCTCTGAAGTGACACGGCCCTGAACTTGCTGGCTCAGTTTCCTTCCTCTCCTCTCTAGCACAAGGTTATACCCCGAGAACACTGACCGCTCAGAGCTGAGGCCAGCCTTGCGTCCCCCGCCTGCACTGAGGGGCAGAGGGCAGGGAGGGTCAGACAGGGGCCAGCACCTGGGGTACTCATCGCCAGCGCATTTGGGTGTCAGGCTTGGCTGGCCTGGAAACAGGACCTGCCTTCCCTGCTGACCAAGAGTGGTACCTGAGGAACAGTCACCTACGTTCTGGAAGCTTCTGTGGGTTTCCAGAAATGCCCCTGTGGCCCTGGAACCCTTGGCCTGCCGTCACCCTGTTTTCTTCGCACTCCTGAGGCTCGGAGGCTCCACTGTGCGGGGGCAGAGGTGAAGACCCGCCCCAGATGGAACGACGGGCTGTGTGCAGTGGCAGGCCAGCCCAGTCAGCAGGCGCTAAAACCCTTCTACAGACGTCACTTGATCCTGATGCTCGCCTCAAAGTGCCGTTTCTGTGAGCTGTGCATGTTCACACCTCCGTGGGTGTGGAAGAAGACCCCCAGCCCTGCACCCTCCCTGATTCCTACTTCCAGAAAGTGCTTCCAAGTCTGTAGCACCCTGGAGACTTGGCTTTTGGGACGCTGGCTCTAGAACGAGCTGAGGGGGCTGCCAGAGTTGTGATAGGAAGGGGGCGTGAGCATGGGGGTCACAGGGGTGCTGCTCTGGCTCCTAGAGGCAGCTGCTTCCCCCTTGGGCTGTGTCCCCGGGTCAGGGAGGGCCGGGCCCTAGGTTCAGGGACAGACCCCCAGCCGGCAGCTCTCAGGGAGCCCAGCAGGGGCCCTGCTCCCCAGAAACCTGCTCTGCCTCTGTGCTCCTTGAGCTCTGCGGACTAAGCTGCTTTATTTGGGTTTTCTTTTACTGAATCTAACAAGTACCTGAGTCCCTGCATTTCATCTTCCTGCCTCTGCCACCACCTCTCAGGGGGACAAATTCCAAGAAGTCTGGGCGCATGCCCAGGGCAGAGGACATGGTGAGCATGGTGGGCTGTGACCCTGGCCCCATGATGCACCGTCCCCCACTGGGCACCCTCATAGCGCACCTTGAGTGGGTTTTTCTGCTGCTGCAGCAGAACGTGGCGGGAAGGGGGCACTTCTCGGCTCTTGGCTGTGTCCCTGCTTCCCTGCTTCTCTGGGGTGGCAGGAGCACATCAGCCTCAGCAGAAGGGATCTGCACCCAAACCTGAAAACGCTCAAAAAGCAAGTGCCAGTCCCCCTGCAAGGAGAGTTCCACTCCCCACCCCCACCCACCGTTGGACCGGCTCCATCCTGGGGTGGGGGCAGCTTACGCTTCCCCTCCTCTTTGAGACGGAACCCTCATGGGGCACCTGGCTGGCTCAGTCGTTAAGCATCCGACTCTTGATCTCAGGGTCATGAGTTCAGGCCCCATATTGGGCTCCACACTGAGCATGGAGCCTACGTAAAATAATAAAAAGTAGATAGAACCCTCAGGACCGCACATTTTGGGGGCAGTTTTTCAAATTGCATCCTTTCTAGACCTGTGAAGTGTTCTTTGGTGGCTTCTGGAAATTCCTGGGGCGGGGGGGATCAGGCTTTGTTGCCAGTCCTCAAAGAGTTCTGTGTCAGGGCATCTCCTGCTGGACGCAGCCTCGGGGGACAGGCAAGGGGCCGGCTTCTGTCAGCACAGGCCAGGCCCTTCGGGGCACCGTGGGTCTTCAGAGCCAGGGCTCCAGGGAGCTGCAGGCTGGGGTGATTGGCATCAGTGGGACGGCTGAGTGAGCTGGGTCGTCAAGGCCCCTCCAGGGGCTTCCCGGTCAGCCAGGCCCTCTGTGGCTCTGCATGTATCCCTCCCCCCACCCTGTGCACCTTGTCCTCCTCTGTGGGAGCTGCAGGTCCTGCCTACAGGGCCAGTGGGGACCGTACAGGTCCCCAGCAGCTCCCAGCTCGTGGGGTTGGTCAGTCCTGCCCCCACATACAGGGGATGAGGAGGAGGACACGGCGTGGGACACAGCCAAGGTTGGGAGGTGCCCACAGCTGCCTGGCAGGGGGAGGTGCTGGTTGATGGCAGGGCTCTCGGACTACCTGAGGTGGCTCCACAGGTCCATGTGGAGGGAGCATCAGAGGGCATGGGGGGCCCCTTGCTCTGACCTTGCCTTCAGCCTGAGGGCCCCAGTGACCCTCCCTGCTCTTCAAGTCTGAGACCCCCAGGAGGGACCATTGGCCCAGCTTGGGGCAGGTGTCTGTGGGGCTAGCCAGTGGGGGCAGGGGCTCAGGGCTTGTGCTCCTGTCTGAGTATCAGGGCTGCTCCCTGCGGGGAGACCCAGGGTGTCTGCTGCAATTGTCCTCACGCTTCATGGGCAAGAAGGTGCGGAAACTCAAGGAGCCACCAGAGCCAGGTCTGCCAGGTGCCCCTCGCCCCACTCCCACTGAGACCCTGAGCAGGGGAGGGTGAGCACCCACAGGCGGGAAGGGGCAGCCCCGTGCCATTGTGAGGTCAGGCCCTCACAGCCCATAATTTCTCACGTTCAGAAGAAAACCTAGTGCCTAGAAGCATAGACGGCGTCCCTGACATGGGCATAGTAGCCCTGGAAAGCAGAGGTCCTCCCCAGGACCGGGAGAGTGAGATGAAGTCCAGGTTGGAGGGCCTGAGAGCTGCCCCTCTTCCCCAGGATTGGGTCTGTACTGTGAGCACGGAGGGGCAGCTTGGTGGCTCTGCCCTGCCTGGGGCCAGGCACCTCCTCCTGCTTGTGGGAGCCTGCCTCGGTGGCCCTACCCAGCACCCTGGCCCCATCTCCTCAGGGCTTTGGACATTATCACAGGCAGGGAGCTGTGCTCTGACCTGGAGGCAGCGGCCAAAGCTCAGCTAGCTGAGGGGGATGTGGGGCCACCTTGGCTGCTCCTTGCAGAAGCAGGGGGCCGGTCTGGGCGGGGCCTGGCTGCTGATGGGCCCACTGTGGTGGTCTTCCCACTGGGGAAAGGGTGGTCTCAGGAAACTGCTGCTCAGCCCCAGGGCAAGTCTCCTCTCTGCAGGACAACTGTCCACACTCTCCCACTGAGAGAGGGGCAAGGGCTGTGGGGTGGGGGGTGAGGCTGCCGCCCGCAACAGCTGGAGGGAGGGTGCAGCTGGTGTCAGGGTGTGTCAGGGAGGGAACCTTTTGGAGGAGGGTGTGAGTCACCATGAGTGAGCCTGTAGGCAGCCCCACGAGCAGAGTCCTGGCCTTCCCAGGCAAGGGCTGCCCTGGTTCTGGAAGTTTCTCCTCCGGCGAGGCTGAATGGGCCTCCCTGGAGCGCAAGCAAGAGCTGGCTTGCCTCTCACCTCACCCTGAGCCTGGAGCCAGCTTTGTGGGGTCTATTCTCTGGGCTTCCTCAGAAGGAAGGAGGGGCTTAACTGGCTGGGGCCGGTTTAGTAGGGGTCTGGGGTCCACGTGGGGCAGAAGCTCCTCCTCCTTGCTCCTCCCACACCCTCCCCTCTCCGTCCTCCCCAGCCCCAGCCTTCCCAGCAGGTGTTTAGGAAGGTATTAGTTTAATCAGTCGTACAAAACCGCCCCCTCCCTTGCTGGGGTCCTGCCCCCTGAGGCATGGCCAGGTCCTCGCAGAGGACTCTGGGGGTGCGGGTGAGGGGCGGCTCAGCAGCAGAGGCGAAGGGCCTTGCGGAAGACCGTGCGGAACTCGGCGTTGAAGACGGTGTAGATGAGGGGGTTGAGGGCGCTGTTGACGTAGCCCAGCCAGGTGACCGCGCTGACCAGCTGCGGAGGCACGGCGCAGGCGGGACACAGCGCCCGGGTGATGTGCACCACAAAGAAGGGGGTCCAGCACACCAGGAAGGCCCCTGGGGGCGGGGGGAGGGGGAGGGCGCGGTGAACCAGGGTCCCTGCGGCACCCCCCCCCGCCGGCGTCCTGGGCACCGTCTCGGGCCGCGGGCGCTGACACCTTCCACTCCGCCCACCGACCCCGGGGCAGGTGCCCACCGACCACCACAGGCAGGACTCTCATGGCCTTGCGCTCCCGGCCGGTGATCTTGGCGCGCCTCCTTTTGCTTCCCTGCAGCGGGGGCTCCGCCGGGATGGCGGCGGGAGGCGGGATGGCCTCGGGGGGCGCGACGGCCTCGGGGGGCGGAATGGGCTCGGGGGGCGCGACGGCCTCGGGGGGCGGGATGGCCTCGGGGGGCGGAATGGGCTCGGGGGGCGCGACGGCCTCGGGGGGCGGGATGGCCTCGGGGGGCGCGACGGCCTCGGGGGGCGGAATGGGCTCGGGGGGCGCGACGGCCTCGGGGGGCGGGACGGCCTCGGGGGGCGCGACGGCCTCGGGGGGCGGGACGGCCTCGGGGGGCGCGGCGGCCTCGGGGGGCGGGACGGCCTCGGGGGGCGCGGCGGCCTCGGGGGGCGGGACGGCCTCGGGGGGCGCGGCGGCCTCGGGGGGCGGGACGGCCTCGGGGGGCGCGGCGGCCTCGGGGGGCGGGACGGCCTCGGGGGGCGCGGCGGCCTCGGGGGGCGGGACGGCCTCGGGGGGCGCGACGGCCTCGGGGGGCGGGACGGCCTCGGGGGGCGCGGCGGCCTCGGGGGGCGGGACGGCCTCGGGGGGCGCGGCGGCCTCGGGGGGCGGGACGGCCTCGGGGGGCGCGACGGCCTCGGGGGGCGGGATGGCCTCGGGGGGCGCGGCGGCCTCGGGGGGCGGCGGGCCGGGGCCGCTGGGCCGGCGAGGCGCCCGGCCGTGCAGCTTGGCGCGACGGGCGGCCTCCCAGCGCCGCAGGCCCCGGAACGTGGCCCAGTAGAGCAGCAGCATGAGCGGGCAGGGCAGGAAGAAGGAGCACACGGACGAGTAGACCACGTAGTCGCGGTCCTCCAGGCGGCACACGGCGGGGTCGCGGCCGCGCGCGTCGTTGAGCCCGCACAACACTGGGGCCGCCACCGCGGCCGACAGCAGCCACGTGGCGCCGATGAACAGCGGCTGGCGCCCGCCGCCGCTCTGGCGGTTGTAACTCAACGGCACGGCCACGGCCACGAACCTGCGGGGGGCGCGGTGAGGGCGACCCGGACAGCGGAGGGGCGCGGGGCGGGCGGGGCGGGGGCGCGAGGCGGGGCGGCGGCCGGCTCACCTGTCCACGCTGATAGCGCACAGGTTGAAGATGGAGGCGGTGCACAGCATGACGTCCATGGCCATGAGCGCGTCGCAGAGGCCGGGGCTGAACAGCCACACGCCGCCCTGGACCTGCGCGCGGGAAGGGGCGCGGGGCGGGGGCGCAACAACAGACGCAGGGCCCGCTGCCGGTCTCCCCCGCACCAGGAGCCCTCACAGCCGCCTGGGCTGTGCTCTTTCTGACCCCCACCTTTCTGGGGCGAGCGGGGATGTGCCAGAGGCCCGCACTCCTGGGCAGCCTTCCCTCTGAGCTGGGCGAGATTCCCTCCCAGAAAGGAGGAACCCTTTCTGTTAAAGCCGAGAAAGGCCTGGGGAAGCCCTGGAGATGGGGTCTAGATGGTGGAGGACTCTGATCTTGATGCTGTGGGGCTCGGGGCAGGGGGGCGCTCCCCCCCGCAGGCCAGCCCCCTGGAGCATGAAGCCCACTGGCCCCGTTCCCTCCCTGGCTAAGAGTCAGCCTGTCTGGTTAAACTCTGTCACTGCTCTGGGACTCCACAAGTCACCTCACTTTTGTCCCCTCATCTGTAAAATGAGGGTGATGAGAGTATCCACATAAGTGCTCTGAGGATAAATGAGTTAAAAGATGTAAAGGCCTCAGCACCCTGATCAGTGACCTCACCAAGGGCAAAGGAGCAGACAGCCGCCCCCCTTCTAAATCCCCTCCCGCTGATTTGGGACGATTAGGAGCTTAAGAGCTGTCACTGTGATGTCTGTCTGTGGCTCTGGGGGAGGGGCAGATCATGTGTGTCCTTGTCCTGCCCAGTCTCTCCACGTCCACCTCAGAAAAACTGAGTCTCCCCTCCCCTCCCCCACTGCCCGGGTCACCGAGTTCCCAGCGCAGGCCTAAGCAGCTTTTCTCTGCCCAAACCGCAAAGCAGACAAGGGCTGGCACCAAGGGGGACCCACCCGAGGGCCAGACCTGGTCTGGGGATGGAGGCTTCTGGGCCCTGGTTCTTGGCGGGGGCTCTGGACCCCACGCCAACCCCTGCTTTCGGTTCCAGCATCAGGGCAGGGCCTCCCCTTCCTCCAACCCTGCTCACTTGCCATCAGCTCCTCGCAGCTGAATGCCCCTCCTGCTGTGGGCAGAGTATGTGCGTGAGTGAGGGTCTCCTTCCCTGGGGTGCTCTGGTGTGTGCATGTTCCTGGTCACGCCTGACTGTGGTTTGTGCAGTGATGTGTGTGTGTCTCTGTGCCCCAGGGAGAGCGGGGGGAGGGGGGTAAACCTGAATCTGCCTGTCCATCTGCCTCCCCTGAGGAATGGAACCTCAGCTGAGGGATAGTGGGTGGCTGGACTGCCAACCTCGCCTGTTTCTGAGGTTGGCTGGCTTGAAGGGCAAAGGCATCTCTTGGGTAGGAGATGCCAAAACAGGGACAGGAGAAGAGAGGCACAGAGGGAGGGCGGACAGCCAGCCAGCCAAACAGGTAAACTGACAGCAAGATGGGGGGCGGGGATCAGAGGGGACCGAGGCTCCAGTTGTCCTGGGACCAGGCCCAGCGTCCCTGCAGCCGCCCCGGCTCGAGGTTCCTGAGAAGCCCAGTGGCCGGGTGGCTCTGGGTCCTCACGGTGGATGGGGACAGGGGACGAAGGAGCAGGTGAGCAGTGCGCGTGCGGTCGTGAACGCGGGCTCACCTCGGAGTAGACGAAGAGAGGCAGCACGAGCAGGGCGAGTAGTAGGTCGGCGGCTGCCAGGCTCACGATGAAGTAGTTGGTGGGCGTCTGCAGGGCTCGCTCGGCCGCCACGCTGACGCACACGAGCGCGTTCCCCGCGAGCACCGCGCCGATGAGCAGCACGCCCCCCGCCAGCGCCGCCGCCGCCGCGGGAGTTCCCGCGCCGCCGCCGGTTCCCGGCCCGCGCCCCTCCAGCAGCCCGTCCGCGTCCGCCGCGCTGCGGTTCCCCATGGTGCACCTGCCCCCATGTGCCCGGGCGGGCGCTCAGCACCGCGGACAGTGCCCGGGTCGCGAGCCCGGGAGCCCCGCCCCCAGGCGCGCCCCGAGCCCGGCCGGAGCCCCGCCCTGATCCGCCCGGCTGGGTGGGCCCCGGGCGCTCTAAGGCGCACCCTGTCTTTGCCCGTCTTGGGCTTCTGCGCTCCGGGAGACGGGCCGGTGGACAAATGCAACGACCCTTAAGAGTTAAGCGAGGTGATTGGCACGGGCGGGCCCAGCATCGCCCCGCGCCGCGCAGGCTTGGAGGTACGCGCGGGTCTGCGCTCTGGGAAACCGAGCGGGATAGGAGGTCGGCCGGACCCTCCCTCGAGGTGTGCGGCACGCCAGCGCCCTCCCGCCGGGCCCCAGAGACCCCCGGGTCGGGCCTGCGCCGGAGGGGTGCCTGCTTCCCAGGGACGCCCCAGGAGGCGCCTCCAGGCGGAGGCGGGGCCGCTTCTCACTCCACCCTGTTCCCAGGACACCCTGAGAGCACCCTTCTCAGGCCGGTCCCGCCAGACAGCGAGAGACCTGAACTCCTTGCCCGCCTCCCCCGTGGGCCCCCTGATGGGGCTTCCCTCCGGTCACCCGACACAACCTCTCATGCCCCAGGGCGTCCCCCACCCCGCAATGATTGCAGGCCCCAGTCTGCGGCCCTGCACCCCATCCCCTGAAGCAGCCTCTCCTCCATGACGGGGACCCTGCCCAGTTACTCTCCAACAATGGCCACTGCCTGGTGCTGACTTCATAGCCTGAAACGAGATAAGCAGGAGGAAGGAGCATGACAAGCGCTCACGGAACTTTGCAATCGTCATGGTTGTGCCTGCTCTTTAGACTCACATTACCTGAGTCACCGCCTTCTTCACCCTCTCAGCCTGCACCTGCCAAACCCACAAACTCACTGGATCTTGGGGCCATCTCAGGTCCATTACCCCCACCTGCCAACACATGACTGTGGGAGCACGGGGTGGGGGGGCCCTCTGGGGGTAGGGTCCCAGGTCTGTAGGTAGGACTGTTGTAGACCAGATGCACGGGACACAGAGTTAGCCAGAGACCGCTGTGCATGATGGAGTCAGCCCCGGCTGTGCTCCCGCTGATACAGAAGTTCACAGAAAGAACATACACGGAAAGTGCATTACAGTGAGAACATATTATGGACTTACTAAGTCAGAGGGACACAGAGCCTGGAGCCCGTCCCTAAAGGGCCCATGAAGTGGGCCGTCCACCTGCATCACTCTGTGGGACTGCCTAATGCGCCTCCACCCTCCTCAGTTTCCGTTTCTGGCTGCCTCCACCCTGGGAGGCTGGGAGACTCCGGATGGGCCTGGAGCACAGAGCTGTTGCCAGGAACTCTGAGACAGCAGGGGACACAGTGGCCCGCTTGGTGAGCTGAGCATGTGCGTATTAAAGAGAAAACAAGGGGCACCTGGGTGGCTCAGTCAGGTGAGCGCACCAGACTCTTGACTCAGGCTCCTGAGATCAGCCCCATGTCGGACTCTGCGCTCATCACGGATTCTGCTTGAGACTCCCTCTCCCTCCCCCTTCGCCCCACCCCTTGGATGTTTGCTCTCGCTCTCGCTCTCTCTCAAATAAATAAATAAAACCTTAAAGAGAAAACAAGGACTCTGAAAAAAAAAAAAAAGCCATAATGAGAGTCATAAGGAGTGAAATCACATGGATCTAATATAGGAAAGGTGGGGCGCCTGGGTGGCCAGTCATTAAGCGTCTGCCTTCGGCTCAGGTCACGATCCCGGGGTCCTGGGATCGAGGCCCACATTGGGCTCTCTGCTCGGCGGGAAGCCTGCTTCTCCCTCTCCCACTCCCCCTGCTAGTGTTCCCTCTCTCGCTGTGTCTCTCTCTGTCAAAGAAATAAATAAAATCTTAAAAAATTAATATAAGTAAGGTGTGTGCAGGGTATGTGTGTAGACAGGTATCTAGGTCTGAGTTGCATTTAACACCTCCATCCCTTTCACACAGATCCATGTTGTTGGCAGGTGGGGGTAATGGACCTGAGATGGCCCCAAGATCCAGTGAGTTTGTGGGTTTGGCAGGTGCAGGCTGAGAGGGTGAAGAAGGCAGTGACTCAGGTAATGTGAGTCTAAAGAGCAGGCACAACCATGACGATTGCAAAGTTCCGTAAGCGCTTGTCATGCTCCTTCCTCCTGTTATCTCGTTTCAGGCTATGAAGTCAGCACCAGGCAGTGGCCATTGTTGGAGAGTAACTGGGCAGGGTCCCCGTCATGGAGGAGAGGCTGCTTCAGGGGATGGGGTGCAGGGCCGCAGACTGGGGCCTGCAATCATTGCTGGGTGGGGGACGCCCTGGGGCATGAGAGGTTGTGTCGGGTGACCGGAGGGAAGCCCCATCAGGGGGCCCACGGGGGAGGGACAGGCAGGCTTTCTTCCCTTCTGAAGCCTTGAACAAGAGAGCTCACAATACTAGTGACTGGACCAGGAGGACTTCACTTTCTCACAGGACAGAAGTCCAAGGCAGGGAAGGCTCTGCGACCTTGGGTTGGATGCCAAGTAGTGAATCTAGCCTAGCCTCTGATCCACTTGGAGTTTCCTCCTGGTCCCCAGATGTCAGCCACCATTAAGAATGAAAAGGCAGTCTGGACTGGGAAAGGACATATGTAATACAGATCTCTGATAAAGGATGTGGATCCAGAATATACAAAGAACTGCATCAAATCAGTAAGAAAATACAGTCCAATTTTCAACAAGGGCAAAAGATCAAAGAGGCACATTACAAAAGAGAGAACTCTAATGGTCAATAAACATGAGAAAGTGCTCAATATCATTAGTCATCAGGGAAATGACAACAAAAATCACAATGACATGCCATCACATACTAAAATGGAAAAAAAAAGTGGGGCGCCTGGGTGGCTCAGTCGGTTAAGAGTCTGACTTCAGCTCAGGTCATGATCCTGGGGTCCTGGGATCCAGCCCCACATTGAGCTCTCTGCTCAGCGGGGAGTTTGCTTTTCCCTCTTTCTCTCCCTCTGTGATCTCTCTCGCTCTCATTCTCTCTCAAATAAATTAAAAATAAATAAATAAATGGGGGGAAAAAAAGAAGAGTCAGATACGTGATGTGAAAATATTTTCTCCCAGATCGTAGCTTGTCACTTCATCCTCATATCGGAGTTATTTTTTTTACGTGTAAGGTATGAGTTGAGGCTCTTTCTTTTTTTCCTTGCCTATGGCTGTCCAGTCAGCTGAGCATAATTTCTTGAAAAGACTATCTTTTCTCCATTGGATTGCTTTTGAACTTCTGTCAAAAAAATCCCTTGATTGTATTTGTGTTGGGCTATTTTTTTACTCTCTCTTCTATCCCATTATCTACAGGTCTATACATCTGTCCTTTCAGCAAGGACACACAGCCTTGACTACTCTAGCTTTATAGTAATTTGGGAAATCAGGCTCTAGCAGTCCTTGAACTTTATTCCTTCACAAAATTGTTTTGGCTATTTTAGTTCTTTTGTCTGTATGTATGGATTTTTTAGAAGACTTTATTTATTTGAGATAGAGAGAGCACAAGCAGGGGGAGAGGGAGAAGCAGGCTCCCCGCTGAGCAGGAAGCCCACCGCGGGGCTCGATCCCAGGACCCTGAGATCATGACCCGAGCCGAAGGCAGACGCTTCACCAACTGAGCCACCCAGGCGCCCGTGTATATATATGAATTTTAAAATCAGCTTGTCTCTATCTACAAATATAGTCCTGCTGGGAATTTGATTGGGATTGTGTTGAATCTATGCAACTAATTTAGGGCAAACTGACATCTCAACGATGTTGAGTCTTCCAGTCTATGAACACAGTATATCTCTCCTTTTGATTTCTTTCATCAGTATTTTGTTTTCAGCATACAGATCCTGCGCATATTTTGTAAGATTCATAACTAAATATGTCATGGCTTCTGATATGATTGGTAAATGGTTCTTTTTAGAAATATCATTTCCAATTGTTCATTGCTAACATGTAGAAATAGTTTTGTGTCCTTTGTTGTTGCTAAAACCTATTAATGCAAGGATTTTTTTCATCAGAATTTCTAAATAGACAATTATCTTTTTCATGAGTAGAGACCATTTTATTTCTCCCTTTCTTATCTGGACGCCCTTCCTTCCTTCCTTTCTTCCTCCTTATTTTACTAACGGGAACTTGAACATAATGTTGTTCAGAAATGGTGAAAGCAAACATCTTTGCCTTGTTCTCAGTCTAATGGGGAAAGCTTTCATCTTTCACCATTAAGTGTCCTGGCAGCTGTGGGGGTTGGTTCCTCTTTAAGTTAAGGAAATTCTATTCTTAGTTTTCTGAGAGGCCTCAACACAAACAGATGTCGAAATCTCTCGAATACTTTTACTGCATCTACTGAGATGGTCAAATGGCTTCTCTTCTTTAGGCTGCTGATGTGGTGAAGCACGGGGATGGGTTTTGGAATGCTGAGCCAGGCTTTCCCTCCTGGCATGAAGCCCATTTGGTCATGATTACCCACCTTTCCATATAGTGCTGGATTCAATTCGGTAATGTCGGTCAAGGAGTTTTGTGGCCGTGGTTCTCTTTTCTTCCGTTGTTTCTATCTGGTTTGGGGTTGGGTCAGCAGAGTAGTGCTGGTTTCCTAAATTGAGCTGGGAAGTGCTCCCTTCAGTTCTCTTTTCTGTACCAGATTGTGTAGAATTGATGTTAACTCTTCTTCCTTCAGTTGGAATAAGTTGCCAGCGAAGACATCTGGGCCTGGAGTTTTCTTTGTTGGATGAGTTCCAACTATGAAGATCAGTTTCTTTAATGCACATGGAGCTGTTCAGGCTGTCTGTCTCTTCTTGAGGGCATGCGGTAGTGTGTCTTCCAAGGAGTTGATATGTTTCATGATAGTTTTCAAATGTAAGGGCCTAGAGTTGTTTATATGTTCCTTTATTAACCTTTTTATATCTCTGAGGTTTCTGTTGCCAATGCCTCTTTCATCCCTTATTCTTTTTTTTTTTTTTTTAAGATTTTATTTATTTATTTGACAGAGAGAGACACAGCGAGAGAGGGAACACAAGCAGGGGGAGTGGGAGAGGGAGAAGCAGGCTTCCCGCGGAGCAGGGAGCCCGATGCGGGGCTCGATCCCAGGACCCTGGGATCATGACCCGAGCCGAAGGCAGACGCTCAATGACTGAGCCACCCAGGCGCCCCTTTCATCCCTCATCCCTTATTCTTAAAGTGTGTGTTTTTTCTTGGTCAGTCTTGCTAGAGGTTTATTAATTTTACTGATCTTTTCAAAGAACCAACTTTTGGTTTCATTGATTTTTTTCTATAGTTTGTTTTGTTTTCAATTTCATTAATTTCTGCTTTTATCTCTATTCTTTCTTTCATCCTGTTTCCTTTCTGCTTAATTTGTTCTTTTTCTAGTTTGTGCGGCCATTGTTTTCCTAACATAAGCATTTAATGCTATAAATGTCCTTCTGAGGTGCATCCCACACATTTCTGCGTGTTCGATCAATCACGTTCAGTTAAAAATGTTTTCTTCTTTCCCTGAGACTTCTGTGACCCATGGTTACTTGGAACTATGTTGTTTCGTTTCCAAATTTTCTTTTGGATTTTCTTTACTTTTTTTTTTTTTTAAGATTTTTATTTATTCATTCAAGACACAGAGATACAGAGAGAGAGCATGAGCAGGGGAAGAGGCAGAGGGAGAAGGAGAAGCAGGCTCCCCGCTGAGCCAGGAGCTGGACGTGGGCCCAGGACCCTGGGATCATGGCCTGAGCCGAAGGCAGACGCTTAACCGTCTGAGCCACCCAGGCGCCCTGGAGATTTTCTTATTACCTTTCTGTTATTTACTTCTAGTCTGTTCCATTATAGTGAGGAAAAAATGCTGCGTCGGACCTCAATTCTTTTAAACTTGTTAAGGTTTATTTTATGACCTGGAATATAATCAATCTGTCTTGACAAATGTTCCGTGTGTACTTGGAAAGCATGTGTGTTC